GGAGCTGGGGGTTAAGAGCCTTGTTGGGGCGGCCAGGGAGCTGGGGGTTAAGGGCCTTGTTGGGGCGCCCAGGGAGCTGGGGGTTAAGGGCCTTGTTGGGGCGCCCAGGGAGCTGGGGGTTAAGGGCCTTGTTGGGGCGCCCAAGGAGCTTGGGGTTAAGGGCCTTGCTCAAGGACCTGCTGACGTGCTGAGGCTGGGTTTGTGGGTCCAGAAGATACCCTGATGTCAATTTCAAAGTGCTCACCTCAAAAGTGATTGATTCAGAATGTCCAGAAGGTTGCCCCCCCCCCCACATCTCACCCCATACCTCAAACATTCCTCGTCGCCAGCTTTCAATGCTTGCTTGTTCCCAGAAGCACAGATAACATCCATCGTAGGCTGTGGGATTACAGATATCTGAGCGAGTCAGGCTCATCTTCTCAGATCTGCTGAATGTCTGTTTTTCTGTTTGCTTGACTGGGAGATGAACTGTGCAAGATAGAGTATCTCTCAGAGCCGCGCCGCAGTAGGTGGACGCATACCTGCCCAGGAGAGGAACACACCCTTCAGTGGTATGCAGCCGTTCGGTGTCAAATCAAAAAACTTTATTTGTCCTCAAGGGGCAATTTGAGTGTGGAGGTGTTACTGCCCATCACACAGCGCTCTGCTCAGACTGCATGCTGGGAGCAGCCGCCGTAGCTTCTCACTCCTGCCAGAACCAGAAGCGGCACCACCTCAGGGTCTCCCGGCGTCTGTCAAGGCGTCCTCGGCCTTGCTGCTTCACCCTGTCACCTCAGCGGACCCAAGGGGCCTCAGGGTCTTCGGCGTTCTGTGACTGTCACTGACGAGCTCGCTGTGGGCATCTTGGATGTGCTGAGCAACCATCCAGTGGCACATTTTCTGTGACCTTTCACCCTTTCTCTAACTAAACCTTGAGGTTCTGGGACAGGAACTGAACCGGAAGTAAGGAACAGTCTGGAGTAACACCCTTAGAACTACACCACATATTGGTCATTATTAAGTTATTGAAAAATACTTTTTTACATTTTCATGCCTTTTATCAAGACCATAGGTAGGCTACTTGAGATGAGTGTATTTTATTTCTGGAGATGAATGTTTTTTCAAGGTTGCTTTGTGTTGCTACATGGTGGGTGTAGGGACAGCTACTAGTTCTGGATGCTGGTAAATGAGAATGACTCAGAGTGAACTGTGCTTCATAGTCCAGAAAAAGTTTTTGATTTCATGCACATGACAATGGTGGTGTTTGAATGCACTGAGGAAATGGAATAGTTTATGAAGGCCATTTTAAGGCTGTTAAAATGTTGAAAAATGTACACAATGGTTTGATCTTTGGTATTTGGGTAATAAGATAAAGGGAAAAAATATGCAATTCAACTACCAGAAAATGATAAATGTATTGGCATTATTATGGAGTCATGCATGAAATATCAGTTCGACAAGCAATGGAGTGGGCAGATGCACCCAGTCACTCGGGGAGGGCGAGTCATCGTCTTGTTGTCCTGAATGCTGATTGGCCTGCATTATGCTGGGGGCCCCCAAGTCCCAGCTGTCCGTGCAGAATCCCACGCTCTCTGCGGAGGCGGCCCGAGATGGTGTTCTGTGTATCTGCAAGCATGCGCTTCGTGAAAGTTTCCCACTCATTCCTGATCTGCTTTGGAAATTTTGTGCATAAATAAGAAACACAGCAAATGATAATAGTGTTTATTGTTGCCTTTTATCTGTATTTCACACTGTAATTTCTCGACCGCAAAACTAAAAGTAACAATATCTCAAAGTGAAAACGTGTCAAATATGGAAGAGAGCGGCCTGTATCAAACACGACTGTCATATTAATGCACATCATGCTACATTCAGTGTCTGTCTCCTGCAGCAGCACCTCATCCCCAGTGAGGGACCCCCCCCAGCTCTCATTCACATCCTCCTGTCCTACATCTAAATGTGAGTCTCGTTCTGTTTGGCATGCGGCGTGCTGAACTGCGCACCAGGGTATTCCGAGGAGTCAGCCAGTGTCATCTGGATTTCGCTGCCGTCCACATTGGTTATCCGGAGGATTGGCGTCCGCATTCCCGCTGGTGCCTCACCGGACTTTTCTGGAACCTGTGTGCCCTTCGGGGGACTCATGCCACCCTCCGTGCCCCTGGTGCCTGCGAGCCCTGGGCAGCTAGGGACGGGCTACACAGAAGGACACATGCATAAACACACACTGTCCACTTTGTGAGTTATGAAGAGTGGATCCTCAGCACTTAAAGACGGTTGAATTTCGTGCAGATCGACTTGTTTTCCTGCCTGCTTTGCTGGTGACCTCTGGCTTCTCCTGGAAAGCTAATTGCTGTCTCAGAATCGCCAGAGAGTTTGTGATTGTGAGTGTACCGCTATGGACTGATGTACCTCCCAGCTTTGTGCTCTATGCTGCTTGGGATAAGCGCCCTCACCCCAACGATGTTGACCAAGATAAGATAAGGTCTTTGCTTTTCATATACCCTGTCATGTACTGAAATTAAATGTAAATGACAATGGTCATTTGTACTGACAGCTTAAGAGCTGTCAGTACATTTCTTGATGAATTTGTAGTGAAACAAAACAGCAACACTGCAGACCATAACACTGCATTCTCCATTATGGTCCAAAAGCACACAGGGTAGCTGCATGCTGGCTAACCCTAACATGTGATGCCCAAACTTGCTTTCATCATATGGACAAAAGTATTCGGATATATCCATTCAGACCCATTGCCACAGGTGTATAAAATCAAGCACCGAGCCATGCAGTCAGGTTTATAAAAATTTGTGATCGAACAGAGCAGGGTTGCCAAATGCTGAGGCACATAGTGAGTGAAAGTTGCCAACGCTCTTTTGACTCAATAACTTCCTCTTACATTAACCCCAACACAAAGACTGTCCACCAGGAGCTTGATGGAATGGGCTTCCATGGCCGAGCAGCTGCATGCAAGCCTCACATCACCAAGCGCAATGCCAAGCGTCAGACTCTGGAGCAGTGGGAACCTGTTCTGTGGAATGACCTGTGGAATCATGAATCATGCCTCTCTGTCTGGCAGTTTGATGGACAAGTCTGAGTTTAGCAGATGCCAGGAGAACATTACCTGCCTGACTTCATTGTGCCAACTGTAAAGTTTGCTGAAGGAGGGACAATGCTATGGGGTTTTCTTGCAGGGGTTGGGCTTGGCCCCTTAGTTCTGGTGAAGGTAACTCTTAATGCTTCTGCATACCAAGACATTTTACACAATTCAATGCTACCAACTTTGTAGGACCAATTTGAGGAAAGCCATATTCTGTTCCAGCATGACTGTGCCCCAGTGCACAAAGCAAGGTCCATAAAGACATGGTTGGGTGAGTCTGGTATGGAAGAACTTGACTGGCTCGCACAGAGCTCTGACCTCAACCCCATCAAACACCTTTGAGATGAACTACAATGGAGATTGTGACCCAGGCCTTCACGTCCAACATCAGTGCCTGACCTCACATATGTTCTTCTGGATGAATAGGCAAAAAAATCCAAAGATACACTGCAAAATCCTGTGGAAAGCCTTCACAGAAGAGTGGCAGCTGTTATAGCTGCAAAGGGGGGGTCAACTCCATATTGATGCCTATAGATTTAGAATGTGATGTCATAAAAGTTCCTGTCGGTCTAATAGCCAGGTGTCCCAATACTTTTGTCCATATACAGTAGTGTATATGTGTATCTGAAGGAGAGCATGATGGGGTAGGTGAAACAGAATTTCCTCACGGGGATTAATAAAGCCTCACTATTCTATTTCTATTCTATATCAGAGCAGCTGCGAATCCTCCCTGACGATTTTATAATGAGTACGACCGGCATGACATGCAGGGTGCATCCTGGGATGGGATCCAGGGCTGATGTGATGGTATGGAGAGTACGGAGGATGGCATGTGACCAGCCTGGAAGATGGCATGTGACCCGCCTGGAAGATGGCATGTGACCCGCCTGGGAATGCGCTCCCCAAAGCCAGGAAGTCAGCCAGGAACGCCATTAGACGGCCACCACAATCTTACGGGGCTCTGGGGCACTCCACCTCTCACTTATGCCTGGTATTATTTGAAAATGTGAATTTGCTTTAAAAATTCAAGATTCGTTCACTCTCTACAAAGAGTGGTAAAGTAAATGGGGCATAATTACGTCTTGTTTAGACTGCGGGGTGGGAGCCGCAAGCAGGAGTTTGTGCGCTTTCACAGAAATGTAAACATTCCCAAGTCTCTCTATTAACTGTCTGGGACTTATTGACAGCCTCACTAAGCCCCCCATCCAAGACGAGATCAGCCAAGCCACTTTCCTTATTATATCTAGGCATTGGAGAACTTTTAACTCATGCATAAGTCACACTGTGACTATAAAAATAAGCAAAAAAAACCCTCATTATTAATGTTTGTGACAGCCATGTGGAGCTGCTTCTCGAGTCTATGCATATTAATGCATATTAAAGACAACAGCCCTGAGTCAAGGCTGGAAATGTGACTACAGTGTTTCCATGGCAATAATTAAGAACTGTTAAACATAAGATGAGGGCAGAAGTGAAGCTTGTGAGAGGAAATTGTAGCATTGCAGGCAAAAAGCCAGTTTTGAGCAGATTTACCTCACAGAAGGTTTTTTTAGGTTTCTTAACGGTCAGCATCATGTTTCCAATAGACATACAGTCAACAGGCAAAAAAGCTTACTGGCCGCTGAATCATTTATCTTAAAATAGACTGGCTTTAAATTCCTCTGTTATTGTGGGGATTTTTGGTTTGTCTGTTTTGATTGAATTTGATTGAATTAGACTCAATCTCTAGCCAGCAGACACTGACATATTTCCATGAACCAGGAGAGATCATTCTAGTCCCGTGGTCCTCAGCCCATCGTCGTGAGCCAATAAGTGGCCCATATAATACGTTTTAGAAATATGATCTTTTTTTCAGTTTGCTTATATATGTGTACATTGGGGCATTACAAGGTATTTCACTGTGTAGATGGGGAGGATCTACGAACGCTCTGACTTGTAAGTAAGGTCACGCAGCTCTATTTTAGTCCTTCTGGCCCATTGTTCTGACCTGAGTAGGATGGAGAAGGACATGCAGGGGTGACAGGTCCTCCACTAAACGCAATCTGTGATCCTGGCCTCCGGGAGTCACATTCTGTCTGTTTTCGGGGACTGTGATCCCGGTCTGCGGGCGTCACATTCTGTCTGTTTTCGGGGACTGTGATCCCGGTCTGCGGGCGTCACATTCTGTCTGTTTTCAGGGACTGTCGCCAACCTTCACCTTTGAGTCACTTTACTGAGGCAACGCATGGCACAAGTTAGATGACTGGGCGTCAATAAGTCAATAAGTTAAAAAATGCACCATAAAGTCTGCCGCACAATACCTGCCTCACATCCATCATCCTGATTGCTCAGCATTTTAATACAAGAGCTCATTCTGTGGTCTCAAACCACCAGTGTCACGTCTGTCAGATTGACTTATTGAACAGATGTTCTTGTCCAAAGTGACAAAGTGAGGATCAGTGGGCAGGGTCAGCCAATGTCTCTGGAGCGATTGGGGGTTAAGGGTGTTGCTCATGGGATCACTGTGCTGGCCATGGCATTTGAACCAGCGACCTTCTGAGCACCAGAATAGATTCGTAACCCACAGAGTCGCATAACATCCAGCCAATAAAATAGTACGGTGTTATGTCTGCAGAAAATACCTGTATTTTAAAGTGCATTGCAGTTAGGTTCTACAGAAACGTGAACAAACTGAAACCTTCACTTTTCAGTGTGCCATTACGCTCCGTGCATGGTCGTGCACATGCACTCTTGTTTACATACGACACTTATCCATGTGAGCAGAAGGTTACAGTCGCCTATGCGTACAGCGATGATATTCCATCAGACCCTCCAGCAGAGGGCAAATGTCTTCTTGGTCTGAATGAATTCTCTTCACTGCCAAGTATCCAGATTTGTACACTGAAATACGTCTGTGTACTTCTTCAGTTATGAGTTATATATCCCTAACTACAAGTACTCTTATATCCCTAACTACAAGTACTCTTATATCCCTAACTACAAGTACTCTTATATTCCTAACTACAAGTACTCTTATTCTGCTCTTTCTTCACTGAGTTCTGCTCAGTGCTGCCACTTACTGGGACAGCTAGTCTCATGCGTAGCTGATGTGCACCAATGAACCAAAAGCTTGGTCTGCTCGGACAGCCTCCATGACAAAATTTGGTTCACTCACCCAGTGCGCGGCATGTGGAAAAGTGAAACATGAACTGGTCTTGACATTGCTCTCCATTAAATGAGAACCTCCATGTTCTGCTGTCATGGACGACAACCTCTGAACATGAAAAAACTGCAAGGATGGCCGTGTGTGTTGTCAAAGACAAAGGGTGAGAAATGTCAGGGACTTACCTCCACCTGCTTCACCATCAATGTTTCTTTCAGATATTTCCTGAAGGGATTTGGCTGAAACTCCTCTGAAACATCTGCCTCTGATGTTTTAGTAACAGCCCCCACAGGACGTATGACTCCAGGTTTGGTCTGTGGAGGTTTTCATGCCAATCAGAACTACTGCGACCCTCGGATGACCACATCTGTGTAATTACTCCTCTGGGAATTTTCCAAAAGGAATGTTTCTTCAAACATGGATAAAACATGACCCTCAATTGAAGGGGGTTCCAGTTATTCAACGTGAAAATCAGCAGTAGTTTGTGGTAAACAAAAAAAGAGTGATCGTTTCTGATCTGTGACTAAATCTCAGGACACTCAAAGCTACTAATATTGCAGATGAGCTTGGTCTCTGACACAGGAAAGATCTGCATTGTGACAAAATCCAAATGTAAATACACCATTTTGGTTATACCTGTATAACCATTAACGATGTTTTTTTTGCTGTTTCCACTTCATTCTACATTTATCTTAGAATTGGCTAAAAAATACCTCCGTGAATGCACCTACAATGGAGAATGTATTTTGACAGAACATTTGGATCTAATCACTGGCCCACTTCAATATGAAATAAAAAATGAAAACACCCACCAGATTTCTCTCCAAAGGGCTGGCTTGTTGCTTGTAGGAAAGGGCCTGTTTTGATAATAGCACATTCAGTCAGTGCCTGAAGCTATTTGCGGTGACCATACAGAGCATGAAATGAGTCTTTGTTCGAGTGATTACCGCCTTTAAGACTGATTTGTTCCCTGAGTGTCTTTCCGTTCCTAACTGGTTTTACCATCCACAGGCAGTGTGAGCTGGACCTAGCTTGTGTGTCATGATTCAGTGTCCTGCTTTCAGGGTTGAGTCTATAGTAGTGCAGAAAGAAGTGTCTCAACAATCTTTTTTAATAAATAACATAGCGGATGAGTCCTGGTAGTTTGTCATACATAGCAGCCCTTAAACTCTTATTTACAAAATCCTGGTTGATCTGTCATGTCTAATCGATGTCCTACAGCAAACTGTTTTTTTTGCATTGGTCACATAAGCCAATGGGAAGCCGGCTGAAGCATGTGGTGAAAATTAGTCATGTCACCTATGTTTCTGTAACATTTTCACAACACACATGCAGAAAGTCAAAGAGAAGGCAATCTGTGAGAAATATATGCTTTGCTTTGCCTTTTTCAGATTCTGTATGCGTGGGGGGGGGGGGGGGGGGGGCTTACATATTTAGTTTCACGTCCCGCTGGTCTTGGCAACAATGTGAATGCCTGTAAAGAAGAAGAAAAGGACCAAATTTAAGATCGAGATGCGAAATCAGTGATGGAGAATCAGTACGATGTCATGATGCCTATGTGTAAGTTAGGCTTCTCGCACCTTTGAAGGTTCAGGGCTCAGGGGTTTCGTCAGTGCTACTGGAACGGAGTGAGATCGCCGCTGTACATGAGAGGGACACCTTCTTTGCTGACAACAAAAGAAACCACCCGATATTTACAGTTGAGATCACACTCATTCACACTCAAATGACTCTGACCGTGACTTTATGGTCTTCCTCCAAGCAGCACGGACTGCAGATCTGAGGAACATTCCTTGCTGTACTTACCATGGGCATGGTGTTCTCTAAGACTTCATCGATGGCGGCGTACAGCTCCTCGGACTCCTGCCTCAGCTGGGCTGGCGAGCAGATCTAGGAAATTCACAGGCTGTTTCTGCTCTGTTGGGTCATTGGCAGTGTTTCTCAACCCAGTCCTCGGGGAATCCCGGACAGTCCACCTTTTTGCTTCCTCTCAGCTCCCAGTGCACCTGTACCAGGTATTCGGTGTTCCTGAATGGCTGGGAGCTGGGAGGGAGCAAAAACGTGGATTGTCTGGGGTTCCCGAGGCCTGGGTTGGGAAACACTGGTCTGGGGAACGAAACTGGCTTTGAGACAAACAGCTCTTCTGCCCCTCAAACGCTTGGCCCATGTTTCTAAGATGAGTGGGCAACTCAGCTGAAAGCTGCCATCTACTTTTTGCTGCAGAGTGTTAACAGATTAGTGTGTAGGGCTGAGACGTGACACTGGGTCTCCGTTATGGCCCCACCCCGAAGGTTTCAGACAGGCGTCCGCCTTTACGGTCCTGTTAGGTCAGACTCCCAGCCAGCCCTGCGTGCCGTACCTCTCGGTGACTCTCCTCGCCGTTGTCTCCGGGCCTCTCCTGATTCTCAACATGATCATCTATTGCCTGTGGTTCACAGCCAGACGGCAAGTTTCATAAATCGCATTTCATATTATCCAGACAGTTTTGACACTTCCATTCAAATAAACATTTGTTAATTTGTAAGGAGACTGATGGACATGTTCATGAGTGTACTACCAAAATATTATAATTCTGTTTTTGAAAGTATATTTAAGTTTTTATATTTGTATTTTCTCTGCTTTTGATGACTCTTCTTGATACATTTATATTTCATTTAAAAGTTTTCAGAAACTGAAGTGAGTCATCATACTCTCGCTTCATTGTTTTGATTTGCTAAACCTGCCCCCCACTGAAGACAACAGAGAGACAACACAGAGTTTATCAACTGACGAAATGCTATCCACATCTATCAAAAAATCACAGTAAATAAATCATGATCCTGTCATTTTATCACTCTCCAAAAATTAGGAATTCACAATAAATAGTAACAGTAAATTTAAAGAATTTGTATATTAGTTACCTATTGTCATTAAATCAGGTACCAGCTATCACTAAATCACAGTGCATCGGGTACCCGCCATCGGAAAATCACAGTGAATCGGATACCTACTGTCAATAAGTCACAGTGAATCGGATACCTACTGTCAATAAGTCACAGTGAATCGGATACCTACTGTCAATAAGTCACAGTGAATCGGATACCTACTGTCATTAAGTCACAGTGAATTGGGTACCCGGCCTCGGAAAATCACAGTGAATCGGATACCTACTGTCAATGAGTCACAGTGAATCGGATACCTACTGTCAATAAGTCACAGTGAATCGGATACCTACTGTCAATAAGTCACAGTGAATCGGATACCTGCTGTCATTAAGTCACAGTGAATAGCTTGTGAGAGTTTTACTTATACAAAGACGTTCTGAGGGCAAAACAAAAATGATTGGTTCAGAGAGATGACCAATCAGATTACAGAGGAGGTGGGTCCAAGCAACTAGAAGAGGTAGGACCAATCAATCAAATGTCTTGGTCCCACTCTTTCTATTTGCTTGGATTCTCCTCCTCGACAATCTGATTGGTCATCTCTCTGAACCAATCATTTTTCATTCTGCCCTCAGAACATTTTTTTGTAAGTGAAATTCCTACATGCCAGTGAATGGAATACCTGCTGTCAGTGAGTCGCAGTCAAACACAGTAAACAACTCACCTGCTGTTCCAGCAGGATGTTGTTGGTGGGAATGGCTGCCAGCGCTTTGTAGCCGGTCTTGATCTTGTACTGCTATGATCAAGAAAATTATCAGACATGCAACTGTGAACAAAAAGCCTGATAAAGACCGATGACTGGATTTATACACAGTGTCCTGGAAGCAGAATCTCCTCCAGTGATTAGAATGTAATTTCTTTGCAATATATTTATAAGGATGTTTACACTCGGCAAAATCATATCTAAAATCCGTAACGTTTTCACATGACTTTGCCGTAATAATTTTCTATCTGGAAAAACAATGATTTACTCACTGATTAATTCAGTACTGTCCTGTAATTCCCTCCATGGATACACTTGATACTGAAGCATTTTATAGGAATAAACAGGGAAGGACCTTTTAAAAGCTCATACCAAACAATGCAACTGACAACTGAGCAACACCATGAGCATGACAACATAATCTGATTAAAAAGCGGAACAGAACAGAGAACCTACAATAGGCAATAGAGATATTTACTTGTATGCAAATGATCATCATGTTAAACTAATTAATGACTAATAACTAAGACCTTCTCAAGTTCGGAAAGAGCTTAATATTAACACTGCCGTATAACAAGGTCGAGCTGATGTTTTCCCACTGGGCTCATTGCGATGGCTAAGAGGAGGAGCGAGTCCAGGCATGCACCGGGCATCGCAGGACATGCGTCACAACATGCAGCCACCCTGCTCAAAGGCATGCACCATACCTTCTTTTTCCTGCCCCCGCCCCCGACAGTGGAGCTGTCCGGCGTGCCATCCCGGGGGGTTGGGGAGGGTGATGAGACCAAGGAGGGTGGGGGGGAGGGGGGCGGGGTTATCCAGCCGGGTGCCGAAAGGGCGGAGCTTGATCTCAGAGACTCAGGGGGGTTTTTTGGAGGCGTGAGAGGGAGGGACCAGGAGCTCCACCAGGTGGGTGGCGCCAGGTGCTGCATGGATGATGCTGCAATACCGTTCTGCAGCGGATGCGGCAAGCAGGATTCCTGCACCTGCGTTACGCTGAGCAATGGGGGGTCTACAGGCCTGTAGGGGGCACCACTGGGCTTAAGGGTGACCAGCTCAGGCTTCGAGAACAATGGGGATACAGCTCGATGTGGAGGACTGGCCGTATGGGTCAGAGTCTGGGGATTGCCTTCAAGTCGTGGGGGAGTTTGTGAGATGGCAGGTGTTGCAGGAACTTGAGCAGAGGACGGTTGGGGTGGAGATGCTGTAGGCCACATATTGTTCTGGACTGTCACAACTTGAAATGGGTATAACCTGGGCGGAGAGCTCATGGTCTTCAGGGCGGGGAGAGAGGGCATGGCCTCTGTGGACACAGTGAGCCGCCGCTTGTCCTGCGGACTTGGGGACTGGGAGCGGGAAGGTCCCTGCCACAGGGAGGAAAGGCTGGAGGCAGCCGAGCATGCGGCACAGGACGACTGGCTCTCCGGAGTAACGGGCCAGCAAGGAGAGTATGGCCGGGTCGGCGTTGGGGCTAGGAGGGGCAGTCGGCCTTTCCGCAGGATGGCCGTGAGCAGCGAGAGCCGACTGGGGGGGACCTTATGTGCTGTCTTTGAGGAGAGGGTGCCGGCTGGCTGGGTGGCCGACGCCTGTGCCAAGCTGCAGCCTGGTGCCAAAGAGCAGCGCTCCACCCGCAGCACGCAAGGCGAGAAGCTGCCCGACCAGATGGAGGAGCACGGAGATTCAGTGCGGCTCAGCGACGCCAGAGAGCCTTCTGGTGAGTTCCGGCCGGGCTGGCTAATGTGCTTGGCACAGTCCTCCCAGGTGACAGACTCCCGGGACGAAGCTGGCGAGACCAACAGTCCGCCTGAGTTTGGTGCCTCGGTCATCGGTGCGAGGGTGACCCTCACCGGTGTGCTACAAATGCCATCTACAGGAGCTGAAGGGACGTCCTGGCATGGCCCAGGAACTGATCTGTGATTGGTGGAGCCTGGGGCGGGGGGAGTGTGAAGGCCGCTCGTGCAAAAGTGAGGCATGGTGTTCTCTGTATGAGGAGCAAGCCGGCGATCGGAGGCCGACGTTTTGGTCAAGTGATCGGCGGCCATTTTGAACTAAGAAGAAAGAGACATCAGTCCTCGTTAACAGGAAGACTTCACCTAAGGAGCACGTCCACTGCTGGGTTGCCTTGTTCTCCCTCCCACATCGCGGGGGCTTTAAGAGCAGTAGGGCCTTGACTGAAACCACAAGGTGTCTCACCCAGCTGTTCATTATCAGACAGCAACTTTAAATATCAAAGGGCTTTTCAGCCTTTTATTTCAGCTTCATAGCAACTATTTTGCCCGACACAATGCAAAAATACATACCTGTCATCAGAGGAAAAATAAGAAGGAATAGCCGGAATGACCATAAGTCAGTGCTCAGCAGTCAGTGTTTACACCCATGAAGAATCACAGTAATTTGAGCTGGAAACCTTCCTGCCGGCACTGACTTGAGATTCAAGGGGATCGCAGTTTGTCCTGACTGATGACGGAAACCTGAGATTATCTCCCTAAGTAAGTAAAAGGAAACATCCTGGTTTTTCTGTGTCACCTTTCTGCCGGCGACTCTGAAGTTTAAGGTTGTCTGAGGGTCAGAAACAGGTTCCCCTCCTTGCCATAAGGAACACACAGCTGCCAGCTTCTCAAGTCAAACGTGTTACATTCCACAGTGGATTGACTCACCGGTGACGGTATCTCGCCTTTCCCGGAGAGCTCATCTGGGACACGTTGGGTCTGGACAGCTCCGGCGTCCCCCTCATCAGAGTCCCCGATAAACACGATCTCTGCCCTGTACATGCCGTGGTCAGCCTCCTGGCCTCCTGAACACTGATATGATCCAGGTTTCCAAGAGAAACAGATAAACAAAGTGGAGTGTGTCCGTGAGGGTAACTCTTCCCAGCCTCCGCTCAGACCAGTACCGGTCCTCACTGACCATTCCATGGCTCATTCCATATTTTTATATATTTTTTACAATCCTTGACACATGTGTTTTATTTGCATCAGAAAAAACGACAACAGTTAAACGTATGAAATACATTCTGCCGACTGACCTGCAGCCAGCTGTCCCTCACCCGGCCCAACACAATTTATCAGTCTGCGGAATGTATACACAGCGTGAGCTGGTCCGCAGCCGTCAAAGGGCTGGGAGCCCCCGCCTAACTGTGTGTGCGGGTCCTTGTATTACACGGTCAGGTGACTCGGTATCTCTAATGCCCCCCGCCCCCCCCCCCACATCATGCTGGCTATGTAGCGGATAAGCTGTTAGAAGACAAGAAAATAGAAAACATCCAGGGACAAATGCTCATTGAAAACACAGATTTACTTAAATTCCGTCAAGCCTTTTCAAACTTTAACACTGGGCACGGGGTGCATCCTGTGAGCCTGAGCAGTGGACAGCGAAAGCTCAGCAGATACACAGTAATTACCAGTCAGCCACTAGCAGGTCACTCATACCTCGGTAGACATTGCCGAAGGCTCCCTGCTCCGTCCCTTCGGTAGAATTCTGCTCTTTATCTGCAGTTTCTTCAGAACCGGCACAAATGTGAATGGCAGGACATCGGAGGAAACCTGCAGGCCACACAGGAGGAACAGACCCTCAGCTCCTGCTGTAATAATGCTTAAAAAAAAAGCAAGCAGGGAACAAGGCAAGCTGAGGAGATCAGCAGTGCCACAGCTGGGATACAGTTCAGCTCGTAGTTACAGCCCAACCTGAACGACCTGCATGAAACAGGTTGAAGGTCTTTCACTATCAACTTCTCTTCATTAAGTTTAATTTCCAGCAAAACAAAATCACCAGTAAACTGAAAAATAACACCAGCAAGGATTTTGCAGATGTTTAAGTATTTACAGCATGCAACAGAAAAATGATAATCACACTCCTAAAGCACAGGTCTCTTTTAGTTTATATACATAGACAGAGAGCTGATCTGAACAGAATTATAAAATGCAGCTTTACCTTCAGCTTATTTCTGGGTTTGTGTGACTGTAGGATAGAAACCCTTAAGAAAAAAGAATGGTGATCTTCTGGAAGTCGTTGGGTCTGTTTTGGCCAGAACAGAAGCCTTATTCACTCGGCATGCATATGTAGGAGGTGCACAGACCTTCACTGTTCTCCATTCTATGCACGGCGGCTGGGGGTCACACCTACTATTCCTGCCTTTCAAAGATTCAGGCTTTTAATATTCCATAAACACTGTACTTTGGTTTGAAACCTTCTAATCCGCTTATATTTTCTTCTTAAATTTAAACTGAAGAATCAGTTCTTAACATACATGCAGGAGCACTTATTGCACAAACCATATCCAAACTTAACCTAAACTAACCTTAAACTTAACACAAAATGTAATCCTATCCCAAATTCTAACCCAAACCCAACATAAGCATAACCGAAGCTCAGCTCTGAGAAAATCATCCCTAACCTAGCCTGACTGTTATAAGAGAAGAAATCCTACCCCAGTCCAGCATTAATATTAACCCAAGCGTTAACCCTAACCCTAACCCTAACCTGAAGCCTAACTTAGCCCTAACCTGAAGCCTAACTTAGCCCTAACCTGAAGCCTAACTTAACCTTAACCTGAAGCCTAGCTCTAGCACTAAGAACAATGCTAAGCCTAACTGTATAGTTCAGGTCCAAAGTCCAGACCAAGGTTTTGTATCAACTAACCATTGAGGTCCCTGTGACTGTGACTCTTTATACTCAGCTGGTTGGTTGAAAACAAACCTTGGTCTGGACTTTTAGTCTTTGGACCTGAACTACAGGACTTTGATGACAACAGAAGCCTAGCTGGTGGAAGCACTCCATACTCTACTGTAATTTTTCCAGCAAATTTTACAATTCAGTTCAGCTGTTATAGTAACTAGGTGTGAGCTGTATAGCCGATTGAAATTAGTATCCGGTGCTAATAATGTGTTCTTTCTAAAGTCGATTGTCAGTTGAACATTACTGATGAATAATCTCACTAATATGCTTAGACTTCCATGCATTTTCAGCAAGCTACTTCAACTCAGCTGCATTTAGCAGGAAACACAGCTCTCTCCCACGCACACGCACACAGTCACACAGAAACTGCTACAACCTATTAATGATTCGTGTTCAGTTTCACAAATCATTCCAAAAAGCAAATTTAGTTCATGTCATACCTCTCATATATTTAGTTCATATCACATCTATAATATATTGGAGAATCCCACATTATAAAAAAAAGCCAAACTACAATAAAGCAGTAAACCGTAATACTGTACCGTAATAAGTACTGGGAAAAACACTATGGTTCATATATGGACATTCATATGGGCACTTCAGCAAAAACTGACAGCTTTGATTAACCCTAATCTCAACCATAACTTTAACCGTATGCTAACCTCAACTCTAGCCCAATCCCAAACCTAACCGCTAACCCCAACAGTAACCCTACCCATCTCCTTAATGCTAACACTAACCCTAATGCTAATCCTAAGACTTAAAGTTTAAAGTTTTAAGATCACTTGCTGATTACTGATATTCAGAAACAGCCACCAAATAAATGCCTTTCCTTCATCCATGCTGTAGTTACAAATAACCATCTGATGAACTGAAAAACTATACTTTTTCCACACTTCTGTTTTGCTGTGAACACGTGTTTAGTATTTGTCACATTTCATTTCAATACAAAATTATCACCCAGATTAAGTTACAACAATTAAAATCAGACACTTTTCAGCATTTCTAAGTAAATCCACATTTTTTAAGTATGAGTTTGAATCTTCCTTGTTCTGCTATAATATAAATTCAGTTAGTAAGATAATCTCGGTTTTATAAGAATGTTTTTGTCACTTATGTAGCGATAAAAATATCCAGCATTTATTTGAGTGGGTAATTACCTAGCTTAATTAGGCTTGGTTTATAAGTAACTAGAGTATCAGTCATCTGTCTACAAATTTATCCCAGAGCGATTTGTACACGCCTACAGAGCCCAGCTTGTGAGCAGTGTGGATTTGCGGTTGTGAATTGGACCCTGGCACCCTGGGTAGTTGCATCATAAAAGGCAGGAGGATGGAGAGAGATGGACCGGCACGACAAGCTGCTTGCGGCTCCACAGATAAAGCTTGCCTATTTCCATTACTGGAAGTATTAAGGCTGTAATGAGCGTGTCATCCTATTTGCTGCAAGGCTAGCGACCGGTATCCAGGCATGAAAACACATTGTGCTAGATTTTCTGTATAAATGTTCCACAGTGTATCCTATCTCTGCTCAGAAGAAGTGTTCACACCCACTAAGATTGCATCTGATGAAGTCACACTATTTAACAATTTCCTCTATTAAGCCGAAATTAGAATGACATTTCTTGGCAGGAAAAGGACTTGGGTCATGTGTCACAGAAATGACACCGGACATCTGGGATGGTTACATGGTTGCATGTCGAGTGAGTATCTACACTGCTGCTTGCTGATCATATTACCCAGAAGGGGACTCTGTGGAAAGTTCTCATTCCTGCCTGAACATCTCATTCCCGTTCGTGCTCATCAGACTAAAGACTGGCGTTGATTAATATGCTGACCAGCCTTCTAATCATAATCAGAAGCCTGGCTTGTGGAAGCTAGCGTGTCTTATGAGGAAAGCATTAAGAGCCAGTGTATAAGCTAGCACATCACCTCAGCTAGCTGAAGAACTTAATTAGTGGTTAAATGAAGCATTCTCCAGTCCAGGCTAAATGAGCCGCTCTCCAGTCAAGTCTGCCGAGGAAGGAAGGCAATCAGACAATCAGTGAATGGCATCAATTTCACACACAAACGATGAGGAATAAAACCCCATTGTAGACCGTGACTTCATGCTGGATTTAAATGTCCTTTCATCACGAGTAACGATTTAAACTTATCCCTTATTTGCTGTCTGGTTACGAGTTCCAAGCAAGTGCATCTGAGTAAATCTCTTGGTTGTTATTTCAGTGACCGTCGCTCCAGCCCGTGACCTGGGTTTCTGTGTTATACGCACCATGGGAACATGGTGCCGTAATGTCAGCTGATGGGAAAATAAAGTTGTTCAAATACAGAACTCTGAGTTCTTGTATGCGTATTTGAGGTCTTTTTCCAAGAGCTGCCTTTGAGCTCTGCTAACACACAATAACTACTCAGGAGGGGAGTTTTTCCAGTTATGCTTTTCCAGTCACTTCAGCAAATGGACACCAAAAACTGACTCTTTATATCAAAGTCTTTCAAATTGCATTCTGTCGGGGAAAGACAGTCCATACAAATCAAGAGTCAGCGAGTGAAGACTATAACTGTGAATCGACGATATCTGTCTCCCCGGGTTGTTAAAGGCAGCGTGATCTGCAACATCGATTCTCAATGTCAGCTAGACGTGCTCATTTAGCTGGGGGAGGGAGTCTGAAACGCAGACACTGCTAGTGGACGTGGGATGCCACTAAAAGCAACAGACAGGCCACGGGCCACGGGCCACGGGCTGCTACCGTGCCCCCCTAGACCGGTGGTGTGCGAGAGCACGTCCCTGGGCTTTCACCTGCCCCCCCAGGCAGGCCGCTGGTGTGCCGGAGCAGCAGAGGAGCAGCAGAGGAGCAGCAGCTTTGACCTGCCCAGTCTGATATCCCGCTAAACAAGACGCCCAGCATTACTTACATAGTGGCTGCTAGTTTTTGGTACCACTTTACAGTAAGACTACCTTATAAGGGACTTATGAATGTTTATAATCATTACTACCATTTATAAGTGGCAAAAAGGAGCTTTATTGTAAAGTAGTACATGAATAAAAACACTTCTGTGTTTTGCCCTGTGTATTGCTGCATTAAATAAAAAAAATTATAATATATACATGATTGTATAACGTATGAGTGAATATAGAAAATTGATGTATGTATGGATAGATGCATTATATTACCACAGAGATTAAAAATAAACTCTTATAAATACTATTAAACTAAATAAAAGAATGTAAATGTGCGTGCAGAAACGGAGACATCCTGAGGCCTTCCTGACAAACTGTTCTGCTGCGTCTTTGTCTCCTCGGCCTCGTAGCTACAGTAACATGGAAAACAGCTGATAAACACAAGGCTGGGGAGCTTCAGCCGGCGGGGCTGAGTACTGCTGTCCGTCCCAGTGGTTTAATTGCTTCAAATATCACCACGGTCACAATCACCCCCCCTCCCCGGATCAGATTTCCCCCTGTCCCTGTCATCTGAGGAACTCTGTGTCTCTCCCCCAGGCCAAACACCCGATGTAAACATGCTGTTTGGTCTCACTTCAAAACAGAGGGACTCCACTTCTTTGTCTCTCATTACTACAGGAAGCTTACAGGGGTAGTAAAATAACTATAACCTGTCTATTCAGCAATACTAAAGGCTCAGCCCTATGCTAAAGGCTCAGTCCAATGCTGAAGGCTCAGCCCTATGCTAAAGGCTCAGTCCTATGCTAAAGGCTCAGCCCAATGCTAAAGGCTCAGCCCTATGCTAAAGGCTCAGTCCAATGCTGAAGGCTCAGCCCTATGCTAAAGGTTCAGTCCTATGCTAAAGGCTCAGCCCAATGCTAAAGGCTCAGTCCTATGCTAAAGGCTCAGCCCTATGCTAAAGGTTCAGCCCAATGCTAAAGGCTCAGCCCTATGCTGAAGGCTCAGCCCAATGCTGAAGGCTCAGTCCTATGCTAAAGGCTCAGTCCTATGCTAAAGGCTCAGTCCTATGCTAAAGGCTCAGTCCAATGCTGAAGGCTCAGCCCTATGCTGAAGGCTAAGACCTTTCTTAGCCTTTCTTTCTTCTTCCTGCAGAGGTATATGCAGTACATATCCAGTATCTAATACTCCCAGTTCTATTCCTTAGTTTAATAAAGTCTAAACAAATAAATAAAAAGGTTTTACAGTACAATGTATATGAAATCATTTAAATGTATCTGGGTTGTTGTTTTTCACTGTTAGTAGTGTTTACTGGGTCTGATGGGGTTGTGCAGTGTTTCAAAAGAAGATTTCTTTGCTTAATCACTTACATAGCAGGTTGACAGAGGCCAGGGACGACTGCAGTCTCAAAGGGATAAACACACTGATTTGGGGTAAGACTGACACTCTAAGGACAGGGCAGGAAAGGATCTCACAGATGTTATCTGAGAGCAGAGTAGCTCTTCTCACAACACTGACATTCATAATACTTGCATTTAACTGACCAGGTAATAGAACTACACATATGTAATAGATTCAAATTACCTGGCCCATTTTTTGACTTGAAAGAGAAATTTAAAGAATGATGCATCACAATCATTCGCGGTGAGCTCACCAAGCAAAATAAAATCGAAATCATCACTAAATATAATGAAGTTAAAAGGAGTGAGGGCAGAGCAGCAGGTCATTAAGGTTTGAGTCATGATATAAAAAGAATGAAAAAATCAAAGATGGGGAATCCTGCAGAGTGACGAGTGAGCGGGGGGGTTTCTCAGCCTCAGCTACGGCTGCGGTCCACAAACTATTCAGAGTTTCCTTCACGAGGAGCCTGTCCCTCCCTCACTCCATCGTAATCGGCAGAGT